AGCTGCAGCCACAGCTGGGGACTAATGTGGACATTTGGGGTATGAACCAGCAGATGGGAGCTTGCTATTTTCCTTCTTTGCATCTCAAATTAAAAAAGAAAAATTAAGTTTTAGAAAGGAAAATTAATAAGCCCTGAGTTGTATGTGTATATTTCAGATTTCAAAAACTATTAGAGGGGGCCCACATTGTGATACAGCAGGTTAGGCTGCCACCTGCAATGCCAGCATCCCATACAGGGTGCCAGTTTGAGTCCTGGCTGCTCTCTTTCTGATCCAGCTTCCTGCTAAGGCACTTGGAAAGGTAGTGGAGGGTGGCCTGAGTACTTGGGCCCCTGCCACCTACAGAGGAAATGTGGATGAAGTTACTGGGCTCCTGGTTTCAGCCTGGCTCAGCCCTGGCTGCTGTAGCCATTTGGAGAGTGAAACGGTGGATGGAAGATCTCTGTGTCTGTCCCTCCCTCTCTGTAACTATGCCTTTCAAATAAATCTTTTTTTTTTTTAAGTGATCTTCATGAAGGTACTTATTTTAAAAAAGCATATATATGGGGCCAGCACTGTGGCGTAGCCGATAAAGCCACCACCCACAGTGCCAGCATCCCGTATGGGCTCCACTTCCGATACAGCTCTCTGCTGTGGCCTGGGAAAGCAATACAAGATGGCCCAAGGGGCCGGTGCCATGGCTCACTTGGTTAATTCTCCACCTGTGGCGCTGGCATCCCATATGGGCGCCGGGTTCTAGTCCCGGTTGCTCCTCTTCCAGTCCAGCTCTCTGCTGTGGCCCGGGAAGGCCGTGGAGGATGGCCCAAGCCCTTGGGCTCCTGCACCCATGTGGGAGACCCAGAGGAAGCTCCTGGCTCCTGGCTTCAGATCCGCACAGCTCCAGCTGTTGCGGCCAATTGGGGAGTGAACTGGTGGATGGAAGATCTCTCTCTCTCTCTCTCTCTCTAACTCTGACTTTCGAATAAATAAATAAATCTTTTTTTTTTTTTTTAAGACAAGCTACCATACCTTGGTTCTTCACTCCCCAAATATTGCAAAGCCAGGAGGGATGCCAAAACCAGGAGCCAGAATTTAGTCTGTGTTTCCCATGTGAGTGGCAGGGACTCAATCACTTGAGCCGTCACCATTTCCCAAAGTCTACATTTGCAGGAAGCTGGAGTTAGGAGCCAGAGTGGAAAGATGTGGGACATAGCATCCTAACTGGCAGCTTAAGCACTAGGCCAAAATGCCGCTCCTCAGAGTCGTACAGTATCCTTAGTTATCCTTAGTTAATAGGCTTGGGCCCTGCACCTGCATAGGAGACCAGGAGGAAACACCTGGCTCCAGACTTCAGATCAGCGCAGTGCACCGACTGTAGCGGCCATTTGGGGAGTGAACCAATGGAAGGAAGACCTTTCTCTCTGTCTCTCTCACTCTCTCTAACTCTGCCTGTCAAAAAAAAAAAAAAAAGTAAAACAAAGAGGTGAAGTAGTTTTCCTCGTGCCAGTTAGTTGGCTCAACACTATTTTTGTTTTGTAAAATTATAGAAATAATTAAAGTTGTTGTCTTGGGTTTATGGAATTTAGTAAGTGGTTAAATCAGAAATTGATTTTTTTTTAGGAATTGTTTTTAATCTGGGATTTTAAAAAAGTGAGTACATCTTTCAGAGGTAGATGGCTTCAGTGAACTTAGTGTATAAGATAATGCTCTTTTGGCCGGCGCCGCGGCTCAATAGGCTAATCCTCTGCCTTGCGGCGCCGGCACACCGGGTTCTAGTCCTGGTCGGGGTGCCGGATTCTGTCCCGGTTGCCCCTCTTCCAGGCCAGCTCTCTGCTATGGCCAGGGAGTGCAGTGGAGGATGGCCCAAGTGCTTGGGCCCTGCACCCCATGGGAGACCAGGATAAGTACCTGGCTCCTGGCTTCGGATCAGTGCGGTGCACTGGCTGCAGTGCGCTGGCCGCGGCAGCCATTGGAGGGTGAACCAACGGCAAAAGGAAGACTTTTCTCTCTGTCTCTCTCTCTCTCACTGTCCACTCTGCCTGTCACAAAAAAAAAAAAAAAAAAAAAAAAAGATAATGCTCTTTCTAGTAGGCAAATACATGAGACAGTAGGTAAGTGAGTGTGGCAGAGGGTGGGGTGGTAAAGGGGGAAGTAAGAGATTGGGAATAATTGGTAATAGTTATAGCATTTTCTTTCTTGAGGATAAAAATGCTTTAAAATGGAATGTTGTAATGGTTACACAACTCTGAATATACTAAAAACCATTGGATTGTACACTTTAAATGGATAAGTTATATAATTTGTGAATTATATCTCAGTAAAGCTATGCATTTTTTTAAAATACCCTTTCTGTTAAGGACTAAAATAGGATGTTAGTGGTCATAAGAGGATATTGTGGAGTCAGTTGTAGCTCTTTTCTTGAAATTATTAGAAAACACCCCTATAATATATATATGTATACACACAAACATATGTATATACATATATATATATAAAGTTTATTTATTTATTTGAAAAGCAGAGTTAGAGAAGGAGAGAGAGATCTTCTATCTGCTGGTCCATTCCCCAAATGGTCACAATGGACGGGGCTGGGCCAGGCTGAAGCCAGCATCTAGGAGCTAGGAGCTTCCTCTTGGTCTCCATTGTGGGTGCAAGGGCCCAAGGACTTGGGCCACCCTCCACTGCTTTCTGAGGTGCATTAGCACAGAGTGAAGCAGCCTGCACTTGAACCTACACCCATATGGGGTGCCAGCTCTGCAGATAGCAGCTTAACCCTCTGTGCCACAGCACTATCCCCCTTATATATTTTAAATTAATTATTAGAGAGCCAGAGAGAGCTCCCATCCACTGGTTCACTCTGACAATTCCTGAAGCATGTGGGGGTGAGGCCAGGTCAAAGCCAGGAGCCACAAACTCCATCTGGGTCTGCCATGGTGGGTAGCAGAGTAGCAAGTATGTGAACTATCATCTACTTCCCATGCACATGAGCTGGATTGGAGGTGGGCATGGGCATCCCAAGCAGTGGTTTAATCCACTACAACATAATGACTCCCTTATGTTTTATTACTCATTTTATTTAGATCAGATTATTTCCTTGTTCTTTTGAAAATCAATCTGATAAGCATAATGAATATTAACTATGATCCCAATTTTTTTTTAAAAGTTATTTATTTATTTGAAAGTCAGAGTTACACAGGGAGAGGAAAGGCAGAGAGGGAGGGAGGGAGGGAGGGAGAGAGAGAGAGAGAGAGAGAGAGAGGTGTCTTCCATCCAATGGCTCACTCCCCAATTGGCCACAACAGCCAGAGCTGTGCTGATCTGAAGCCAGGAGCCAGGAGCTTCCTCCGTGACTCCCATGTGGGTTCAGGGGCCCAAGCACTTGGGCCATCTTCCACTGCTTTCCCAGGCCATAGCAGACAGCTGTATATGATCCCAATTTTTTTAATGCATCTTTTTCAGACCTTCTTTTAAAGTGGCCCTTAGATTCTTTATTTCCTAATCTTTAAAAATATTTTTGGTTGAATGTTGATTTTATTGTTTTAATGATTTGGCTCATGTTAATAAGGGATATAGAAGTTTAAATTTGTTTTCCACATTAATTGCATAAAACGTAGTAATTAAAATATGTTCTAGAGTTAGATTTCTTGGATTTGAATCGACTATTGTTGCTAGCAATGGAGACAAGCACATTTATTTTCTTCAGATTCTTAATATTCTCATTGATAAAATGGGAAAATAATAGTTCCTGTCTTATTTAAGTAGTTAAAATAATTAATGGGATAGCACATGTTAAGAATAAATTACAGGGCCAGCACTGTGGTGTAGTAGGCTAAGCCTCTGCCTGCAGCACTGGCATCCCATATGGGCACTGGTTCTAGTCCTGGCTGCTCCACTTCCAATCCAGCTCTCTGCTATGGCCTAGGAAGGCAGTAGAAGATGGTCCAAGTCCTTAGGCCCCTGCACCCACATGTGAGACCTGGAAGAAGCTCCTGGCTTCAGATCAGCCCAGCCCCAGCCTTTGTGGCCATTTGGGGAGTGAACCAGTAGATGAAAGACCCTTCTCGCTATCTCTCTCTCCCTCCCTCTTTCTGTAACTCTACCTCTCAAATAAATAAATAAAAAGTCTTAAATTGTATGGCTATAGCTATTATCAATTAAAATGAATTTTTTTTTTAAAAAAATTGCTTATTTATTTGAAAGGCAGAGTTACAGAATGAGAGAGAGAGAGAGAGAGAGAGAGACTGAATCTTCATCCGCTGGTTCACTTCCCAAACAGCTGCATGAGCTTCTTCTGGGTCTTCACCATGGGCAGAGGGGCCCAAGCTCTTGGGTCATCTTCCAGTGCTTTCCTAGGCACCTTAGCAGGGAGCTGGATTGGAAATGGAGCATCCAGGACTTGAACCGGCATCCATATGGGATGCCAGCACCTCAGGTGGTGGCTTTACCTGCTATGCCACAGCTCTGGGCCCAGGGTGGTTGTTTTTTTTGTTTGTTTGTTTGTTTTTTTGTACTACCAAAAATTGAATAAATAATTTCCATCAAACTTCATAGAAGTAAACCTTAAATGATTAATGAGAGAGAAGAAAGGATGAGTATCAGTAGAGACTTTAAAAGTTTATTTGGGAGGCCAGTGCTGTGGTGTAGTAGGCTAAGCCTCTTCCTGCAGCTCTGGCATCCCATATGGGTGCTGGTTCGTGTCCTGGATGCTCTTCTCCCAATCTAACTCTCTGCTTATAGCCTGGGAAAGCAGTAGAAGATGGCCCAAGTGCTTGGGCCCCTGCACCTGTGCGAGAGACCCAGAAGAAGCTTCTGGCTCCTGGCTTCGGATCGGCCCAGATCCAGCCTTGGTGGCCATTTGGGAAGTATACCAGTGGATGGAAGTCCATTATCTCTGTCTCTCCCTCTCTCTCTCTGTAACTCTGCCTTTCAAATAAATAAATAAAATCTTCAAAAAAAAAAAAAGTTTATTGTTCCAAAGACATTGTACTAGAACTTTGTTTTCTTTTCTCTGTCTCTTACAGGTTTTCTTTGGCATGGATAAATCCTTGGTGGGAGGATTAAAATTGACTGAACAGACTCTTGCTTTATTAGGGAATACAGCCATGGCATCTAGTCTCCTGGACACAGGAAATGTATTTGGTGACCCAGCTAATCCTTTAATTAGTAGATGCTCATCAGTGGAAGATAATGATGATGATGTTGTATTTATTGAATCTATACAACCTCCTTCAGTTTCTGCTTCAGTAGTAGCTGACAAAAGAACATCATCAAAAAATGAAAAGCCACAAGGAAATTATTCTCTAATTCTTCCCTCCTCAAGAGATTTGGCCTCTCAAAAGGGAAATACATGTGAGACAATTGTTATTGATGATGAAGAGGACATACTAGAAACACCTGGAGGGGAAGAGAAAAGGTCTTCCAATTTTATTGAATGGGGACTTCTTGGCACTAAAAACAAAGATTTGAATTTCTCCACTTCCAGACTTTCAAGAAGTAAGGTAAATGCAGGAATGGGTAATAGTGTTATCACTACAGAAGCAACTCTGAAATACCTCTTACTAATGTTACTACCTTAGAAACAGGCATAAGGTCTGTGAATGCTGGGCGAGATATGAACTTAATGATTACACATATAACATCACTCTAGAATACCAACTTGGGAGATGTCGCTAAAGGACTTCAGTCAAGTAGTTTTGGTGTTAATATACAAACATACACCCCATCTTTAACTTCACAGACCAAGACTGGAGTAGGACCTTTTAATCCTGGTAGAATGAATGTGGCAGGAGATGTATCTCAGAGTGGAGGATTTGCAACTCATCATAATCCTGGTAAGCAGTTAGTGATACCATTTTTCTTCTGTGTCAAGAGAATAAACTTTCAAGTATTCTTTTTAGTACTCATCAATTTTATTTATATGTGAAATGTTTTATTTCTCTTGATATTCCTATTAAGATAGAATATTTTACTTAATAAAACTGTGTAGTCTACTTCATCTCCAAAATTTTGGGAGTTTATTTTATCCAACGTGATTTACATCTAAAGTTTTTAACTGAGAACTCTGAACTGCTATCATTACCCTTGAAAATGTCCTTTATCTTAATATTAAAATTGTAGGGTTAAAAGATGAATCTTGTAGCAGGTAAAGCTGTCACCTGCAGTGCTGGCATTCCGTATGGGTGCTGGTTCAAGTCCCGGCTGCTCAACTTCTGATCCAGCTCTCTGCTACTGCCTAGAAAAGCAGAAGATGGCCCAAATCCTTGGGCCCCTGCACCCGCTTGGGAGACCCGGAAAAAGCTCCTAGCTTCTTTTTTTTAATCTTTTTTTTTTTAAAGATTTTATATATTTATTTGAGAGGTAGAGTTACAGACAATGAGAAGAAGAGACAGAGAAAGGTCATCTTTCCGTTGGTTCATTTTCCAAATGCCCGGAGCTGTGCCGATTCAAAGCCAGGAACCAGGTGCTTCTTCCCGGTCTCCCAAGTGGGTGCAGGGGCCCAAGGACCTGGGCCGCCTTCTACTGCTTTCTCAGGCCATAGCAGAGAGCTGGATTGGAAGAGGAGCAGCCAGGACTGGAACCAGCGCCCATATGGGATGCCAGCACCACAGGCAGAGGATTAACCTACTACGCCAAGGCGCCAGGCCCAAGAACTTTATTTTAAAACTTATTGGATAGTCTTGTTCTGATAAAATTAGAATATAACAAGTTAAGGATTAGCAGTTCCTTGCAGCTTTTTCATGACTTATGTGTGATCCTTTTATTTTATTTTTTTTAAAGCATTAAGTGATAGAACTGAGTGGGCATTGTGGTATAGCATGTTAAGCTGCTGCTTGAGACCCCCACATCCTGTAGCACAGTACCTGGAAGGCAGCAGATGAATGATGGCCCAAGTACTTGGATTCCTGATACCCACATTGGAGAGCCAAGTAAAGTTTCTGGCTCCTGGCTTCAGCTTGGACCTGCCCAGGCTGCTGTTGTGGGCATTTGGGGAGTGAACCAGCAGATGAAAGATCTCTCTTTCCCTCTTCTAAGAACCTAATCACTGTCATTGCTTATATAAAATGATGATTTTTTTTTACTTTCAAATTAATCTTTTCCTTTGGTTATGGTAATACTATATGATTCATTAGAAATAAGAAAATATTGTCACTCTAGTAATTAGAAGTGACTACTGTTAAAATATTAATTTACTTTGTTTTTCATTTCTGAGGTTTTTAAAAATATAATTTTAGAACTTATGTATATTGGGCGGCACTGTGGCTCACTAGGCTAATCCTCCGCCTGTGGCGCCGGCACCCCGGGTTCTAGTTCTGGTTGGGGCGCTGGTTCTGTCCCAGTTGCTCCTCTTCCAGTCCTGCTGTGTGGCCCGGGAAGGCAGTGGAGGATGGCCCAAGTGCTTGGGCCCTGCACCTGCATGGGAGACCAGGAGGAAGCGCCTGGTTCCTGGCTTTGGATCAGCGCAGTGTGCCAGCCGTAGCGGCCATTTGGGGAGTGAACCAACGGAAGGAAGACCTTTCTGTCTCTCTCTCTCTCTCTCACTATCTAACTCTGTAAAAAAAAAAAAAAACAAAAAAAAACTTATATATACTTTGGAGTCCAGCTGTTTTACTTAATCTAAATTTTAATCTTTTGTATTGTTTTAAAAGTATAAGTGTGTTGTCCCACGGGCACATGGCTTCTGACCACCCACTGTCTGCTTTCCTGCCTGCATTCTTGTTCCATGTGGCACGCAGCCGGCTCTCTGCCTGGTATGGACCCATCTTAGCTTCTAGACTTCTCTCTCCCCTAATTAAAGTCCTCACCTGTGCATTTCTCTCACTGTAAACACTTAAAAATTTAAAAAAAAAAAAAAGTATTAAGTGTAAGGTTTGGATGAGGTACCCATTCCACTACGTTTTTTTGAAGCATTCACATGGTTTTCAACTTTTAGAAACTACACTAAATATCTAACATTTTTATTGTTTCCTTAAGGCGCTTCTCAAACTTTGTATTCTTAAGTTTCACTCTTAAAATGATTGAAAATTCAAAAGATTGTTTTGTTTATGTTTATTAATAATACATACATTAACAAAGCTGAGGAAGATGTCTTTATGCATCAGTTAAGCTGCCTCTGTGACACACAAACCCCATTTGGAGTGCTTGGGATTCAGTTCTGCCTGCATCTTCTGATTCAGCTTCCTGCCAATGTGCCTGGAAGGCAGCAGATTACTTGGGTTTCTGCCACTCACTTGGGAGACTCGAGGAAGTTCCTGGCTCCTGGCTTCAACCTAGTCTACCTTTGCTGTTAGGGGGCATTTGAGGAGTGAATCAGTAGATAGAAGATGCCTCTTTTTTTCTCTATTATTCTGCCTTTCAAATAAATAAAAATGAAAAAAAAATTTTTTTAATTAAAACTTAAGAAATTTTACAAGCATTTATTTAACAGGAATTATTGTGATTACATGCATAACATTTTTAATGAAATATAGCTATTTTCAAAAACCTTGAAGACAATGACATTGTTCTCACATTTTTTTAAAAAAAAAAACCTCATTAGAAGCTAATAGGTGTCTCTAGTTTCCAACTTGTATTTTATATTTTGAAGATTTATTTTATGGGGCTGGCACTGTGGTGTAGTGGGTAAAGCCATCACCTGCAGTGCCAACATCCCATATTGGCACCTGTTCAAGACCCAGCTGCTCTATTTTGATCCAGCTCTCTGCTATGGCATGGGAAAGCAGTGGAAGTTGACCCAAGCCCTTGGGCCCCTGCACCCACATGGGAGACCTGGAAGAAGCTCCTGGTTCCTAGCTTTGGATCTGCGCAGCTCTGGCCATTGCAGCCAACTCGGGAATAAACCAATGGATGGGAGACCTCTCTTTCTCTGTCTCTCCTCTCTCCGTGTAACTCTTACTTTCAAATAGATAAAAAATCTTTTTTTTTTCCTTTGAAAGTCAGAATTACACAGAAAAAGAAGGAGAAGCAGAGAGAGAGGTCTTCCATCTGCTGCCTCACACCCCCCAACCGGCCACAATGTCTGGAACTGCGCCAATCCGAAGCCGGAAGCCAGGAGGCCTCCCCTGGGTCTCCCATACAAGTGCAGGGGCCCAAGGACTTGGGCTGTCCTCCACTGCTTTCCCAGGCCATAACAGAGAGCTGGATCTGAAGTGAAGTAGCTGGGTTTCAAACCAGCTCCCTTATAGGATGCTGGCACTACAGGTGGCGGCATTACCTGCTGCACCACAGCACTGGCCCCATAAATAAATCTTTTTTAAAAATTTATTTTATTTGAAAGTCAGAGTTACAGAGAGAGAAAGAGAGATAGAGAGATCTTCCCTCCACTGGTTAACTCCTTAAATGGCCACAATAGCCATTCTGGGCCAGGACGAAGCCAGAAACCAGAAGCTTCATCTGGGTCTTCCACATTGGTACAGGGACCCAAGTACTTAGTCCATCTCCTACTGCTTTCCCAGGCACATTAGCAGGGAGCTGGATTGGAAGTGGAAAGGCCGGAACTCGAACCAGTGCCCATGTGAGATGCTGGTGTCACAGGTGGTGGCTTAAGTTGTGGCCAGTAAAGTCACAACTCTAGCCCCTCCAACTTTCTACCATGAATTTTGCCTTTAAATCAAAGAACTGTATTTTAAAACTTTTTATGTTGATCGTCTTATACTGAAAAAACAAGTGAAAATTGCTATCTTTTTGCGGTGTTTTTATGACTTACGGTGTTTGGAAGAATGATAAGATCTGGCCTCACATAGTTATCTGATTGGAGAAGAGAGCACTATTTTTATAGTCTGTTTAATTTAGTTTTTTTTTTTTTTTAAGATTTATTCATTTGAAAGGCAGACAGAGAGAGAGAAAAAGAGGTCTTCGATCTGCTAGTTCACTCCCCAAATGGCAGCAGTGGTGGAGCTGCACTGATCTGAAGCCAGGAGCCGGGAGCTTCTTCTGGGTCTCCCAAGTGGATGCAGGGGCCCAAGGATTTTTGGACCATCTTCTGCTTTCTCGGGCCATAGCAGAGAGTTGATTGGAAGTGGAACAGCCAAGACTCCAACTGGCACCTGTACAAGTTGGCGGCAGGCGGCGTGTTTACCCATCATGCAACAGCACCTGCCCCCTGTTTAAATAGTTATGGGTAATTTTGTTTTGAACATCACCAATCAGACAGTGTTTAAAAGTCTTTTAAATGTGGGATCTGAAACTGCTTAATGAACTTTTCGTAGGCTATTAAAACCCATTTACCTGTTAATGGATTTATGCTTTAATAACATTGTACGTACTGTTTCACTGAGTTCTGTAGACCTTTTATTTATTTATTTATTTATTTTTGACAGGCAGAGTGGACAGTGAGAGAGACAGACAGACAGAAAGGTCTTCCTTTGCGCTTGTTGATTCTTCTATTGTCATCGCGCAGCAGCGGGTGACTGCTGCTGATCCGGCCACTCTACACTGCACTCCCGGGTCACAGCAGAGAGCTGGCCTTGGAAGAGGGCAACCAGGACAGAATCCGGCGCCCCGACTGGGACTAGAACCCGGTGTGCCGGTGCCGCAAGGCGGAGGATTAGCCTAGTGAGCCGTGGCGCCGGCCTCTGTAGACCTTTTAAATGTTGACACTTTAAGGGAACTGTGAGGGGCCAGCGCCGTGGCTCACTTGGTTAATCCTCCGCCTGCGGCGCTGGCATCCCATATGAGTGTCGGGTTCTAGTCCCAGTTGCTCCTCTTCCAGTCCAGCTCTCTGTTGTGGCCAGGGAGGGCAGTGGAGGATGGTCCAAGTGTTTGGGCCCCTGCAGCTGCATGGGAGACCAGGAAGAAATACCTGACTCCTGGCTTCAGATTGGCGCAGCACCGGCCGTAGCAGCCACTGGGGAGTGAACCAACAGAAGGAAGACCTTTCTCACTGTCTATAACTCAGTGTCAAATAAAAAAATTTTTTAAAAAAAGGGAACTGTGAAACAATAGTAGATGCAAGTTTTCAAAAATTTTATTTTCACTGTAAAGCCAAATTTTCTCATGAACAAAAATACTGTTAATTTTCTTGAAGTGATAGGTTCCTTTAGTTTATTTTCAAGAAAATGTGTCCCAATAGCTATAGTTTATCATTTTATCCATTAAAAGTGGTATTTCATGAAAAACAGCTATGCAGTAATGCAGCTTACAACGCAATAATTTGTGTAAGTGCTTTTTCTACTTTTCCGTAAGATAAGCATAGTATTTTGCATGAAACAGTTTCTTTACCAATGGCTTCTAGTTTATTATACAAAATTATGACATACTCATGTGTCATAAATCAAAATGATTTGATTGTCTTTTGCCCTGTGATGGAGACTTAAATCCTTAGAATTTTCTGAGTATTAAAAATGCCCTTAGGCCAGCGCTGTGGCTCAATAGGCTAATCCTCCGCCTAGCGGCGCTGGCACACTCAGTTCTAGTCCCGGTCGGGGCGCCGGATTCTGTCCCGGTTGCCCCTCTTCCAGGCCAGCTCTCTGCTATGGCCCGGGAATGCAGTGGAGGATGGCCCAAGTGCTTGGGCCCTGCACCCGCATGGGAGACCAGGAGAAGCACTTGGTTCCTGCCTTTTCGATCAGCGCAGTGCACCGGCTGCAGCGTGCCGCCCGCAGCGGCCATTGGAGGGTGAACCAATGGCAAAGGAAGACCTTTCTCTCTGTCTCTCTCTCTCTCTCTGTCCACTCTGCCTGTAAAAAAAAAAAAAAAAAAAAAAAAAAAGCCCTTGTGGGGCAATGGATTGACACACTCGCCTGAAGCGCGAGTATCCCATAATCCCATATGGGTGCCGATTTGAGACCCAGATGCTGTACTTCTGATCCAGCTTCCTTCTATGTCCTGGGAAAGCAGTAAAAGATGGCCCAAGTCCTTGGGCCCTTGCAGCTGCTTGGGAGAACCGGAAGAAACTCCTGGCTTCAGATCGGCACAACTCCGGCCGTTGTGGCCTATTGGGGAGTGAACCAATGGATGGAAGACCTCTCTCTCTGCTTCTCCTCTTCTCTGTGTAACTGACTTTCAAGTAAATAAATAAATAAACCTTTTTAAAAATGCCGTTGTTATTTTGTAACCTCTCGGCTCATACTTAAGTTTATGGTAAAAAAAAAAAAAAAAGTCATGACACAGGGGCTGGGGCTGTGGCGCAGGTTTTGGTTAATCTTCCACCAGCAGCGCCTGCATACCATATGGGTGCCACTTCTAGTCCTGGCTACTCCAGTTCCGATCCAGCTCTCTGCTGTGGCCTGGGAAAGCAGTAGAGGATGGCCCAAATCCTTGGGCCCCTGAACCCACATGGGATACCAGGAAGAAGCTCCTGGCTCCTGGCTTTGGATCTGCACAGCTCCGACTGTTGCAGCCATTGGGGAGTGAACCAACAGATGGAAGACCTTTCTCTCTTTTTATCCCTCTCACTGTCTGTAACTCTACCTCTCAAATAAATAAATAAAATCTTTTAAAAAACAAAGTCATGACTCAGAATGGGGAATAGTTGCCAGAAGGATAAAGCATGTCATCAGAGAGTTGGAACTTTGAAATCACCCAAACTCTAGGAAAGAAGGTGGCTGTAGATCGTGTTCAGTCATAAGGCCAGTGATTTGAAGGGTCATGATTATTGTTAAGACCCTAGTTAAAATCTGAATGTTGAAATTCAGTGTATTGTGGCCAGTGCTGTAGCATAGCAGGTAAAGCTGCTACCTGCAGTGCCGGCATTCCATATGGATGCTGGTTCGAGACTCGGTTGCTCCACTTCCTATCTAGCTCTCTGCTATGGGCTAGGAAAGCAGAAGATGGCCCAGACACTTGGGCCCCTGCACCCACACTGGGGACCCAGATGAAGCTTCTGGCTCCTGGCTTCAGATTGGCGCAGCTCTGACCTTTGAGTGAACCAACAGATGGAAGACCTCTCTGTTTCTTTCTCTGCCTCTTCCTCTCTGTAACTCTGCCTTTCAAATAAATAAATCTTTAAAGGGGGTGGGGTGGATGTTGTGGTTTAAAAGGTAAAGCTGCTGCCTACAGTGCTAGCATCCCATATGGGCACCAGTTTGAGTCCCAGCTGCTCTATTTTCAGACCCGGCTGCTCTCTGCTATGGCTTGGGAAAGCAGTAGAAGATAGCCCAAGTCCTTGGGCCCCTGCACCCACATGGGAGACCCGGAAGAAGCTCCGGGCTCCTGGCTTCTAATCGGCGCAGCTCCGGTTTTTGCGGCCTATTGGGGAATGAACCAGCCAATGGAAGACCTCTGTCTCTCTGCCTATCCTCTCCTTGTGTAACTCTGAATTTTAAGTAAATAAATAAGTCTTAAAAAAAAGAAAAGAAAGAAACCCAGTGTATTAAAAAGAAATATAGAAAGAAAGAATGGGGAGAGAGAAGGAAACCCAATACAGACTCTTGGTTGGTGAACGCATGGCTGCTACTTTTGTTGGTATTGGAATAACATCCATAAACGAAGGTTATACTTCATTTTTTTGCAAGTGTCATGATAGTGACCTTCATTGACTAGTACAGTTTGGTTCCACTGACAACAGTTTTGCTCTTACAGCATTAGTGAAAATGGGTATAATAGGAAAAGGGCAAATAAATCTTGATATTATTATGGGAATAGTTTGGCTTTGTACATTCTCTTTTCTAAAAGTAGTAAGAGTATAAAATCTTATTCTCCATCTCAAGGGAGCACTGAGCCTATATGCATATGACAGATATTATCTTTTTGTGCTTGTGATTGACTTAATTGTTGTTTAAGGTTTCTGTTCTTTCCAAATGTAAATAAAATTTCTTGTGGACATCTCTGTATGTTTGACAGTTATCTTGAAAAGATCCTAATAATTTTTGCAATCAAAACTGCTGTTTTGAAAACATTAGATGGTTAATGCAAAAAAATTTTTACCATTAAAAAGTTAGTTTCTTTACATTTTAAGGGATCTTTTTTCATATTGTAAGCTCCACTGAGGGCTAAGAGCATTTAAGGTTTGCTAAGAATGTTATCTTAATTTCTGGGTATCGTTGACTTTTCAAAAATACATCTGGAGTTTTTAAATTACTTTTTTCAAATTCATGTCTGTCATCCATTTATTACTCTGAATACTGTTTATTTATTGAGGGTTCATCCTGAGAAATAACATAAAAAAACTTGTGATCTCTATATTGCAAAATGTATCCAACTTAAAAGCAATGAAGGTGTTGAATACTTTGAAATAATGTCCATTGAAAAGCATCTTTGGTGTAGTTAAAATGATGCCTATATCCCAGCTTGGAGTGCTTGGGTTCCATACCCAACTCCAGCACCTGAGTCTAGATCCCTGCTAGTGTAGACCCAAGGAGGCAAAGGATGGTGATTTATGTAGTGGTGTCCCTGCCACCCATATGGGAGACATGGATTAAGTTTCTGCTTCTGCCACAATCCTGTCTCATTTTTAGTCATTGTGAGCATCTGAGGAATGATCCAGTAGAAAGGAGCACTCAGTCTCTGTTTCTCTCTGCGTCGCAAATGAAGATTAAAAAGTTTGTTTCTTTTACTGTTTTGTAATTATTTCCTGAGTTTTAGATACTTGTTGTTTAAGTTTTTCATATTTGCTTATGTAAGTTGTTTACATAAGCATGAATTTTTTGAGTTCTTTATTTTTGAAACTATTTTATATTCCACCAAGAACTTACACATTTCATTGTGATACAATTGTACCTATTTATGGGATACAGTGTGATTTAAAGACATATAGCATGTAACTAATCAAGCAATGTAACCTTTATTAAATGGTATTAAAACTAGAAGCTTTGCCATATATTTCTTTTACACTTCAGTTTTCTTTTCTTTTCTTTTTTATTTTTTACAGGCAGAGTGGACAGAGAGAGAGAGAGAGAGAAAGGTCTTCCTTTGCCGTTGGTTCACCCTCCAATGGCCGCCATGGCCGGCGTGGTGCGGCCAGCACACTGCGCTGATCCGATGGCAGGAGCCAGGTACTTCTCCTGGTCTCCCATGGGGTGCAGGGCCCAAGTATTTGGGCCATCCTCTACTGCACTCCCTGGCCACAGCAGAGAGCTGGCCTGGAAGAGGGGCAACTGGGACAGAATCCGGCGCCCTGACCGGGACTAGAACCCGGTGTGCCGGCGCCGCAAGGCGGAGGATTAGCCTATTGAGCCACAGCGCCGGCCCACTTCAGTTTTCAAAACCATTTTTCACCTTCCAGAATGAATTGATGTGCATTTAGTGGTTGATAAGGATAAACAGATTTTAAATTATTATAGTGGCTGGTGCTGTGGCATAGCAGGTAAAGCCGCCACCTGCAGTGCCGGAATCCCATTTGGGCACCAGTTACAATCCTGGCTGCTCCACTTCTGATCCAGCTCTCTGCTACGGCCTGGGAAAGCAGTGGAAGATGGCCCAAGCACTTGGACTCCTATACCCACTTGAGTGACCCGGAGAGGCTCCTGGCTTCGGATCAGCTCAGCTCCACCAGTTGTAGCCATCTGGGGAGTAAACCAGCAGATGGAAGACTCTCTCTCTCTCTCTCTCTCTCTCTCTCTACCCCCTGCCCCGCCCCTGCCCCTGCCTCTGCCTTTCTGTAACTCTGCCTTTCAAATAAATAAATAAATCTTAAAAAATTATTAGAGAGCTCATATCTACTAATTTGCTCCACAAATACCTGCAATAGCCAGGACTGGACAAGATCTGAGACCAGAAGCCAGGAACTCATTCCAGGTCTCCCAATGGTTGCAGGATTCTGATTCCTTGAGCCATCACAGCTGCCTCCCAGGGTCTTCATTAGCAGGAAGCTGGAGCTGAGTATCAAGCCCATGTACTCTGATAAGGGACCTGGGTGTCTTAACTGCCAGGCTAAACACCTACCCCCTAAATAGATGCTTTTCCACATGAAAATGTAGTGTAGATAGATAAACTATAAAAACAATATTCGGTCGTTAGGTACTGTTCTGTCAGACGCATAGAGAGATCTTCATGCACTGGGTCACTCCCCAAATGGTATAATGGCCAGGCCTAGGCCAGGCCAAAGACAGGAGCTTCTTCTGGGTCTCCTATGTGATTAGAGGGGTCCAAGCACCTGTATCATCTTCTGCTGCTTTCCCAGGCATTTTACCAGGGATTGAAAGCAGAGCATCCAAGATTCAAGGTGGCACCCGTATAGGATGCTGGCACTACATACAGAGATTTAACCTGTGCCACAGCACTGGCCCTGGATTGATTTATTCTTTTTTTTTTTTTTAAAGATTAATTTTTCGAAAGAGTTACACAGAGAGAGGAGATGCAGAGAGAGAGAGAGAGGTCTTCCATCTGATGGTTCACTCCCCATTTGGCCGCAACAGCCAGAGCTGTGCCGATCAGGAGCCAGGAGCCTCTTCTGGGTCTCCCATGCAGGTGCAGGGGTCCAAGGACTTGGGCCATTTTCTACTGCTTTCCCAGGCCATAGCAGAGAGCTGGATGAGAAGTGGGGCAGCTGAGTCTCGAACCGGCGCCCATGTGGGATGCCAGTGCTTCAGTCCAGGGTGTTAACCTGTTGTACCACAGCACTGGCCCCTTGATTTATTCTTGTCATCCTTTTTTCTCATTAATTCAAAGCTGGTTTATTTTTTGTCATGATATGAAATAGTGATTTTAAAATGTAACAGATCAAAAGCACTAAATGATGCAGAACATCTTAATTATGTTTATGATATGTAGCAATTAATTTCTATAATGTGTGAAATATGAGTGAATTTACAGCATTCTCTAAAGGTCTGTTTTGGTGGACAAACGATGTAACTAAAGGGTTCTAAAGAGAACAAAACTTTCATGTGAAGGGTGATCACAAAGATATATTTGAGGTTTCTTTTTTTAAGATTAAGTAACATGTTGAAAGAATAGTCTTTTTTTTTTTTCCTTTTTTAAGTCTGTGTGTATGTAAGATTTTATTTGAGAGGCAGAAGTACAGAAAGACGGAGAGACAGAACGTCTTCCTTCCACCTGTTCACTCCCCAGATGGCCACAATGGCCGGAGCCAGGCCAATCAGGAGTCAGAAGCTTCCTCTTTGTCTCCCATGTGGGTACAGGGGCCCAGGCACTCGGGCCATCTCCACTGCTTTCCCAGGCCATCAGCAGAGAGCTGGATTGGAAGAGGAGCAGCGAGGACTGGAACTGGCACCCATGGGGGATGCAGCACCATAGGCAGAGGCTCAGCCCACTATGCTACATTGCCAGCTCCTATTTTTATTTTTTTTCTCTTTAACTTGAAAATATCATAGTAAAAAGTAGTCTTATTATAACCCTAGATTGTTTTTGTGTGCTGTTAACATGTAAAACATGTAAAATTAATCAATTCTTACTAGGAAACTTCTAGAATATGGTGGCAGCTATTTTGTTGTTGTTATAATTAAAGTCTTAGCTTCCCCAGAGTAGCTTACATTAGTTGCTGTGTGCTTCCCATTTATATAAAATGTCTTCAGGAAGTTTATGAAAAATGCATATTATGAGAAAACTATACATGAATTTCAATGTTTTGCACCAATGAACTTGTACTAATATGTCACAACAGGATCCAGTTTGAAACACTAAAAAAAATAAGAGGTTTGAGAAAAACCCTTATCAAAGCAATATGAATTCTGCTAAAATTGAAGCAAGAGCAAGCATGAAGTTTATGGTGAATCTTGGGTGGAATAACAGTGAAATCATTGATGATTTCTGAGAAGTTTATGGGGGTAATGCCCTAAAGAAATTAGCAGTTTATTGATTTATCATGAAAATAACTCATGCTATGATGGAATGGGGCAATCCTGAAGATAAAGCCCTGCAAGAAAGACTACCCACATCAATTTGTAAGGAAAAATTTAATGTTGTTTATGCCCTAATTGACTAACATCAGAAACAGTAGTAAATACTATAGACAACTCAGTATGAGCCAACTTGATGCTTGATACCAAAATTGTTGTGTCTTGATCAGCTGCAGACAGGAGCATCACTTTCAATGGACATTTTAAATAAATACAATCAAGATCCTGAAGAATTTGTTTGAAGAATTGGAAAAGGAGATGTGACAGTGTGATCCTGAAGACAAAGCAATAGCCAGCAAGATAAGGAGGTCCAGTCAAGAGCAGAGATCATGACAGCAGAGCATGATAGCATCTGATTATTCTGAGAGTATCTTGAGAAAGTTAGCCAAAGCTTTTATTTTAACACAAATGCTTGAGAAAACATCACCAAAGAGTCTATCTCCACTATGACAATGCTCCTGGTCATTTATTTCTCTGATTAAGCAAAGGCACTTTTAAGAGTTTTAGTGGAGGCACAGATGCAGTTTGCTGGGTGGGTGGGTCAGGTGACCTGAGGAGTTGTGGAGTCGGTTTAGGCCACTTCTATGGGTTTCCAGAGTGCCAGTTGCCATGGCCAGTCAGTTGCAGGGGATCCAGCAGCTGCTGTAGGCCGAGAAGTCAGTGACAGAGAAGGTGTCGGGGGTCCACAAGCCTAAGAATCAGAGACTGAAACAGACCAATGAAGAACCACAGGCTGAAATTGAACAGTACCACCTGCAGAGGAAGAAAGAGTTCAAGGCCAAAGAAGCTGTGGCGCTGGGATTCCATGGCAGTTGCAGCAGTGAAGTTAGAGATGGAGACCCAGGAGAAGATGGCCATCCTCGAGACCTACTTCCAGCAGAACAAGGATGAAGTCTTGGGTAACCTCTTTGCCTTAGATAAAAGAAAGCTGCACTTGTCCCACGGGTGGGTGTTTTAGATTCTCCCATGGAGAATGAAGCTTCAGCAAAGCTCATGCTCTGCCCTCATGAAAAGGCATTAAGTTATTTATGTGTGTTTCATAGGAGGACCCTTCACCTGTTAGCTTCTTTGTACAGACTTTGTACTTATCCAAAGAGTTCATCTTTTTACTTCATATTTCTTAGAGATATTTATTTATTTTAAAAGATTTACTTTATTTATTTGAAAGAATTACAGAGAAAGGTAGAGACAGAGAGAAGACTTCCATCCACTGGTTCACTCCCCAGGTGGCTGCAATGGCCAGAGCTTCGCCAATCTGAAACCAGGAGCCAGGAGCTTCTTCTGTGTCTCCCACGCGGTTGCAGGGGCCGAAGGACGTGGGCCATCTTCTACTGCTTTCCCAGGCCATAGCAGAGAACTGGATCGGAAGTGGAGCAGCCAGAACTCGAACTGGCGCCCATATGGGATGCTAGCACTGCAGGCAGCAACTTTACCCGCGAGGCCACAGTGCTAGCCCCTTAGAGACATTTAATAAGTATATGTCATGTGTTTTCTTCTGCCTTTTAGTTCAAGGAAAATATATGTCAGTTGTTGATTTTTTTCTATCTTAGATCTAGTAGAGAAAAACAGAATTCTTTGAAGAAAGGGATTAAACAATTTTTTCCCCTATGCTTTCCTGAAGGTCAGGGGCTTTATGTATGAAAAAGTAGTAAATAGTTTCTTGTAACTTGTGTGAAGCAGCAGCCAGCCTTAATGTCTATTCTAAGGGCAAACACAATGAGTTACTTGTATAATTGTTTAGGCTGCTTTTAGCTTCTTAATCAAAATTATTAGATGATAGAATTTAAGAGCATGGGGCTGGTGCCGTGGCACACTTGGTTAATCCTCTGTCTGCGGCGCCAGCATCCCATATAGGTGCCAGGTTCTAGTCCTGGTTGCTTCTCTTCCAGTCAGCTCTCTGCTGTGGCCTGGGAAGGCAGTGGAGGATGGCCCAAGTGCTTGGGCCCCTGCACCTGCGTCGGAGACCAGGAGGAAGCACCTGGCTCCTGGCTTTGGATTGGCGCAGTGCCGGCTGTAGCAGCCATTTAGGGGGTGAACCAATGAAGGAAGACCTTTCTCTCTCTCTCTCTCTCTCTCTGTCTCACTGTCTATAACTCTTCCTGTCAAATAAAAAAAAATAAAAATAAAAAAATTTAAGAGTATATTATGTCTTATTGTTGTACCAATAATCATAAAAAGTTTTAACAGGAGGCTATTATGCACCCATTTACAATCATGGTTTTGTTCCAGTTGACTCTTCCATTTATGCTAATCTTAAAACTTTCAACAGCATTTATTTTTATTCATTTAACAATGTAAAAAAAAGATTGCTTTGACATAGTTAAATCCCCAGGCCTTCAGTTCTTTAGAGATGGACCAAATGGCTTTTATTATTGCTTACAAAAGTGAAGTTCTTTGATATAAATTGGAGATTGTCTAGTACCCCCAAAAAGGCAAGGATTTCTGGAGGTGATTCATATATATATATATATATATATGCTTTATAAGATCAAATGTCATCAAGTAAAATTGTGGTTTAGTATAAAGTACACATAAGGGATGCATTATAATGTGTGAAAGCAGTGTTGTTTTTGTTAGAACGGCCCTTTGAGTCATTTAATTCCTTGATTAACCCTTGGGGTAAACTGAACGAATTATTTTCTGCTTATAGCATACTTTATATCAATTGTAAATTTAAAAAATTGTTACAGAATAAACTTAAAATTGGTCTTGAATCTATATTTTTATTGTATTTTTTTTAATATTTATTTACTTGAGAGGCAAAGTTGCATAGAGAGGGAGTGACAGAGAGGTCTTGGCTGGTTCAATCCCCAAATGGCTGCAGTGGCCAAAGGTGGGCCAATCCGAAGCCAAGAGCCAGGAGCCAGGAGCTTCTTCTCAGTCTCCCATGCAAGTGCAGGGGGCCAAGCACTTGAGGTATCTTCCACTGCTTTCCCAGGCCATCAGAAGGGAGCTGGATTGGAAGTGGAGCAGCCTAGACTCGAACCAGTCCCCATATGAGGTAGGTGGATGATCAACCCACTGTGCCACAGTGCTGACCATTTTTATTGTATCTTAGTTGTTTTTGGCCATAATACTGATTCTGTGGAGTCACACTTCTAATAACTAGTTGATCTCTATTCCCTCCTGCTGAGAAAATGACAAAGTATATAAAATATCTGTTGAAAGACATGAAGCTACAAATACAGAGAAAAACATAATAAAGGCTTAAGGAGCATGTATTTGGTATACTGATTACGATTCTTGGCAGGGGGCATTGATATTGTGGCATTTTGGGTACAACTATTACGCCAGCATTACTTATGGGCACCAGTTCATATCCCTGCTGTTTCACTCCCTATCAAACTCCCTTCTAATGGCCTGGGAAAGCAGCAGAAGATGGACCAAGTGCTTGGGATCTTGCCACTCAGATGGAAACCCAGATGAAGCTCTTGGCTTCTGCCTGGCCCAGTCCTGGCCATTGATTGCAGCCTTCTGGGAAATGAACCAGCCCATGGAAGATCTCTGGCCCTCTCCCTCTGTAGCTCTGACTTTCAAAATAAAAGATGTTTGGGACATCTGCATCCCATAAAAAAGACTGAGAAGCTAAACAATAAACTCACAGGAGCCTACTTCCAAACCTTGGATTGCAATGTTAACATCATCTAGAGCCCGAGACTTTTTCCTTTACAGTTTTCCATATAAAAAACAAAACAGCCAAAGACATGGAACATGCCATGCCATGACAGTATCAAGAGGAAAACCCAAGAGTAAAACTGATAAACAAAGGTTCAAGGTGTTAGGGCTAACTGACACAAATTTTAAGAACCTGTACATTTGAACTGTAGATGGGACAGCTAAAGAAAGCATGAATGAACTGGAAGATATATTACAGAAAATTATCCAGACTGAATCATAGAAAGCCAAAAGGGTGGAAGATACAAAAGAAAATATAGGACTTGGAGACAGTGGATGAAAATAATATCTAATTAATGTCCTAGAAAAACATCGGAGAGAAATGGAGCAGAAGAGGCACAACTGATAGTTTTCTAAAATGGAGAAAAAACAACCTACAAATTCAAGAACCTTTTCAGGCCATGTTTTTAGCCCAGGAGTTAAGAAGCCCACCATATCCCATATCTGTGTACCTTGGTTCGATACCAGCTCTGGCTCCTAACTCCAGCTTCCTGCTAAGCAGACCCTGGGAGGCAGCAGTAATAGTTCAAGTAATTGGATTCTTGTCACCCAGTTGGAGAGCTGGATTGAGTTCCAGGCTTTAGGCTTCAGCTGATTTTTCAGTGCCAGCTATATAGGGTTATGAACCAATGGATATGTATATTCTATTCCCTCATACAAAAAAAAAAAGTCTTTACAAATCCTAATCAAAAGAAACCAAAGATCTGTTCAGAAACCAGTCAATATTTAGAAACAATCCAAATGTCTGAGAACAGTAACATGAATAAGTGATATTAGCCATGATGAAGTACTCAACAACAGTGAAATGGGGTGCTCTACATGTATTGTGGGTGAACGCTGCAGTGTTTAGTTAAGGAGACTAAATATAAAAGATTACATAAATGATTTCATGTATATGCAGTTGAAAATAAGTCAAAACCTAGAGGCCAGCGTTGTGATGGAACAGGTTAAGCTTCCACTGGAGTGTGGCATCCCATATTGGAGTCTAAATTCGCATTCACTCTGCTTCCAATCCAGCTCCCTGATAAGGTGCCTGGGAAAAGCAGCATATGATCACCCAAGCATTTGGATCCCTGCCACTCCGATGTAAGACCTGGGTAGCACTCCAGCCTCCTTGCTTTGGCCTGGCCATTGTGGTCATTTAGAGAATGAACCAGCAGATCTTAGATTTCCAT